GTAGGACTCAATCGCCATGAGACGAAACAAGGGAAATGACCTGGCTGAGTCATTCCTATGTTTGCCCAGGCGCCGGGTTAAAAGAGCACCAGTCATACTGCACTGTCTGCTGCCAAAAGGCAATAAATTGCTGCTGTGTAGCAATGCAGTACCACGTCTGCCAGCACCCAGGAGACATACGGTGACGGTTAGCTGAGCGGGCTCCATGCTTGACGTGGCATGGTGTCTGCACAGGTAACTCAAGAAAAAAGGCGCAAAATGATTGTCTGCCCTTGCTTTCATGGAGGGAGGGAGGGAGGGAACGGGGGCCTGACGATATGTACCCAGAACCACCCGCGACAATGTTTTAGCCCCATCAGGCACTGGGATTTCTACCCAGAATTCAAATGGGAGGTGGAGACTTCAGGAACTGTGGGATAGCCACCCACAGTGCAACGTTCCAGAAGTCGACGGTTGCCTCAGTACTATGGACACACTCCGCCGACTACATGAACTTAGAGCATTTGTGTGGGGACGCACACAATCAACTGTATTGTCAAAGTTTGACTCAGACTCACAATTTATCAGACCACTCTGTTTTATTAGCAAAGCTGCTCTGCTAATACATTTAGAAGTGAGCCCCCCGAGTGGGGCTTGCGTCTCTTAATTTATACAGTTTTTTGGAGAACAAGTTACAGAGAAGTTACAGACAAAAGAAGAAAAAAGATTTTAGTCACCACCCTTCGAGATCCCTGAGACCAGTCACGTATCTTCAATTACCTGCCACCCTTAACAATCTCCTTTAACAGCTTCCAGTTAACTTAACTAATTGCCCTTCACACCTTCCATTCTGATGCCTGCTTCTTAGACGTGCTGGCTCTATCTTAATTGCTTCTCCATTCAAAAGCTAACTGTCCCTACGTGTGCTCCCTCAGATACTTTGTAACATGTTTTGGCATGCCCTCTCATAAACAATGTATCCAGCATGTCCCCTTATACAACGTTATACTTATACAATGTTATATTTCCACAGTACAAAAACGCTTTCTACAATTCAACCTAATTTCGTAGTGTAGACATACCCATAGTAACACTATGGTGGTGGGTACTGGGGTAGCCAGGATCTATGGGATGACTGGGGACTGAATTTCCTTTTCTGTCCTAGTGTGTAGATCTCTAGCAAGTGTAGTGCGGCTCTGAAGTCCTTGAGTATGGAGTGATGAGTTGGTCTTGTCTGCAAAAAGTTTGGAGCCCTCAAAAAGGAGGTCCTCAACAGTCATCGGCATCTTCTTCAGCAGTCCAAGACGTAACCTGTCACATCACTGTTGTAGATACTGAGTGGGCTGCTGTATCCACGACATCTAGTGCGGTCTGGAGTGCTGTACTCGATACTAACTGTCCCTCACGTATGATGGCTTGAAACTGTTCCTGTTGTGCTTCTGGCAGATGATCAATAAATGCATTACATTTAGGATAGTTCATATGGTCGTACTTCGCCATTAAGGCTTGGTAATTAGCAATCCTGAATTGGAAAGTCACCAAAGAGTATGCCTTCCTATCAAATAAATCATGTCTTTTCCAATTTCTGCCATAAGGGGTGGATATAATATGATGCTGTTGGCCATAGGAATGCACAGCGTCCATAACAATGGAGTTAGGTGGAAGATGTGAAAAAATAATTTTGCATCCTTGGAGGGCACATAGTACTTTTTATCAACCCTTTTACATGTTGGAATGATAGAGGTTGGCGTTTGCTAAATGACCTTAGCAAGATCCAGAAGTACCTTGTTGACAGGGAGAACAATTCTCGAGGAGGAAGAGGTGGTGTGCAATATATCTATCAACTTGTGGTGGGTTTCTTTCACCTCATCAAAAGGAATTTATACTCTGCCACCCTTTTTGTGAGATCCTGAAACAGTTTAAAATCATCCACCCTGGATGGCAGAGGGGGCATCACTGCCTCATCAGGGCAGGGGGGATATTTATTGGTGGCATAGCCGCCTCTTCTAGTCTGGCCCTACTGCTCCTCAAACGTTTCCTCTTGAGGCTGTGGGGCTCTAAATATAGAGGTTTAAGGAGACCATCTTATTGAGTCTCAGCAGGAGACACTAAATGCCCAAGAAGTATGGTGCCTGTGGGCTTCCCTCAGGTCCCAGTATGACCACTGCGGTGGGGGAAAGTGCATGGGTGGTGGTACCCACAGGTGGTCATACCAAGAGGGTTGAGGCTCAGACTGAGCATGCAACTGGGAGAGCCTTGGTTGATGTAGAGATGGACCATGGTGTGAGTATAGTGAGAAGATATCATCCTTGTCACTATTTGAGTCCTTGCTGAGTGGAGCTGGCAAGGAGACTGGAGGCAAACACCATGGTACCTGTGGTGATTCCGGGGATCAAGATGTGCTGGTACCAAGCAGCAGGGACTTTGGAGTCTCATTCACCAGGAGATCTCAGGAAAAACAAAATTCCTGTGGTACCGTGCTGATCAGTACCATCAGGGCTTGTTGATGCAAACTTGCCAGTACCAAGGAAATCAGTGGAGATCTTGTATGAGATGGTTGGTCCAACAAGGATTGTTTGGAAGTAGTTGGTACCAAAAGTTTCCCTGTCAGTACCGCCTTTGCAGAGATAGTGTGGTCTTTGCTCTTGCCTTTGACAGCTGGTGCCGCCACCTCAAGAGCCTAAACTCTTCAGGTCTTTATGCTTACAGGCAGTATCTGCACTGGAGGAACCATACATCCTATGGGTACTATGTTTCAGAGTCATCAGTCCAGAGATGACAGATCACAATGGCAATCTCCTCTGGCCGGTCAGGGGTCAGTTTGCAAATTGCATGAAGCAGGGTTTTGAAAGAACCGTGTCTAATCTATTGTAAAATAAATTTCAGTGAACAGAGAGCTCTTACTTGCTTCATTGGAATAACAATATTGTGCAGGACAGAGCATTTCAATGCTATCCACAAAATAGTTCTACATGATAAAAGAAATGTATCACTATTCACACATGAAGCACTCAAAGCTCAAAATGCCAGAAGGTAATGTTCCCCACTGAATCTTAACTCCGCCCCTTGTGTAGACACAGTATAGCCTTTAAGTAGTCAATCATATTACTTTTTATGCAGGACCCAGCCTCATTCACTGCAAAAGTTAGTTGATATATGAAATGAGTGAAGTAGTTTCAACACAATGATCTCATCAACCTTTCACAATGAACAAGGAATGGGACGGTCCTGCAGAAAAAGACAGTAACTGAAGACTATTGGAATTCATATGCTCAAGGAGGCAGGAGTTAGGTTTCATGTGCAACTTTAAACTTTGAGACATTAACGTATTTAACAGTGATCTGTATGAAATAAATATTTTAAAATTATATGTATATAAAATACCTTACACATAAATGTATGCACATAGTTTACACGGTCAGTCTTGTATTATTGCTAAGAATTTAAAGTAAGAGGTAGAGGCAGGACAACTTAAATGACAAAACAGGATAAACCATTTATAACTTTTTGCTTTTATTTAAATGTTTTCTGAAAACATTGATTACAGCCTTGCCTCAAGTTCACCCATCAACTTCAGCCACGAAAACTCAATGGTTGTTTGAAATCTGAAATCCTAGCGGCAAGGGGTAATGTAGTGGTTGACTTCGGCAACTGGAGAGCATGGTGGATCATAACATAGTCATTCATAAAAACAAAATGGTGCAAGAGGCTCTTTGGTGCCAAAAAAAATGAAAGGTAACTGTCACTGGAGTATTTATGAACGTTATTGAGAAGAAAGCAATCAAAGTATAAACTCTTCCTCACAATACTATGGAATCATTAGTCTAAAGACACTGGAGACTCCTGTACCTTGAGTATTCTGCAAAGAAATATCAGTGTTAAAGAAAAGCTGTATAAAAAAGAAACCATTAGAAGAAATTAATTATCTGAGAGAGAAGAATACTGTGGCTCTCAGGATGAGGAGAAGAGACATCAGTTACAGCCCAGTCCTGCAGTGGCCATATCAGACTTCTAAGATCTGTGTGCTGAGATCTTGCAGGATCAAGGCCTTAGTTTTCTTCCCAATTTCAGTTGGGTGTTTATGTGGTGATGTACCTGCAGCATCTAAATATTGAGTAAACTCATGAAAGAGCATACTGCTCAAGTCATAGTACAAACTCAAAAAACATCAACAATTTTACTGCTTTAGTTATATTCCAACACCTAGCCTTAAGGAGAAACCCCACTCTTCACATGGAAGCAAACAACAAACCTTAAAGTAACTTGCAAATTCAAATAACTCATGATTCATTAAATATTTTTAACCAGATAAGCATTATAAAAAGTCAGACTTATTTGTGAAATTTATAGACTACAATGTATTAGCCAATCTTCGCTTAAAGATATACATATTTACAAAATGTAGACAAATTTCTAGCTTGAGTAGAACAGCAGGTAAACAAGAAACAGAGAGATAAAGGGCCAACTTCTGCCATCACAAGCACTTGGGGTTCCACACTGACTCCAGACACTATTGCATGCATAAGGTGTGCATCAGAGTTGCATATATGTATCTGTAGGTATAATTTAGCTCACTGTCTAGTTTCTGTTAGAACTCCTTCCTTTCACCTTGATCCAAGAGATAAGGGTTCTATAAGTGATTTGGCTGCAAAAGGAATGAATAAATCATTCAATTCTCTAAAACAGTAATATGTGCAGTCATTTTAACTACTTGGATAGATTTATAATATTAAAGCAATTTTCTATTTCAAAATCCTATTCTAACTTGAAACTAAAATAATATCTATGAAAGAAATAGAACAGACTAAAAATATCAGGATTCTCAGACTTTCTTCTGGAATTGTAAACCCTTTGAATGCAACAATCCATTTTTCATGCAAGTTTACTTCACTGGACTATCACAGCATGTCCTATTTGCTTTTTAAAATCAGTGCTTGTCTCAGTGTATTCAAATATACAGCTGAAACATTTGCACCCCCTAGCTGTCACAGGTAAAACACAGTACTTATAGCTAACTTACATTCATTTTCAACTTCAAATTTATTGAGGCAGTTTATATCAATGTATCCATAAAATAATTCAGAAATAACCCAAGTATACCATTTAAACATCTTCATGATTTATCCATTTATACACTCAGTACACAAACAACCCAGCCTCTGTACAGGTTCATCACATGCAAACCACCCATAAAGACAAAAACTTTAGTTAAAAATAAGTCACAACTCAGTGTACTGTTTCAACTGCATCTCCATTTACCAAATGGCACATTGAATATTCTGTAAAATAAGATGTTTTTAACAATCTTGTTAAAAAATCCTTGGGCAAAATATTTCTAGACTTAAAAAACATCCCAAGATTTTTCAAAACACTCAAGATACTATACAACTTATAATAACCTTGAAATAGGCTTACAAGGTTGTTAACGAAGGTATTTACATACCCGATAATGTAAAGCAAAAATTCAGATTTCTAATAACAAAAAGGTGATGCATTAAAGATTTATGAAATTAAAATTAAGGCTCTTTGTATAGTAATTTATGTAACTTTACATAATAGCCAACTTTGGAAATGTCAGTCTTGCACATTCTTGTCAGTCTACTGCATTTCAAGCAGTAGAGTATATTAAGTATTACTTTGAATAATTACAAGCTACTTCTATGTTTGAGCATGCTTTTGAAACATTGTAGTTATTAAATATTTACAATGTGTAGCCTTCAAACTTTATGTAAAAAGCACAAGTATGACTGCCTGACTAATACAAACACCATACTTGCAAAAACATTTTGCGTCTCAAAATTAAATGCAATTACTAGAGTTTTAAAAAGCAAACCAGATTTGAAAAGTTTTAGTATGTGCCTGAATGTGGACAGCAAAATTTGCTCAAATAACTCAGACAGTAATGTTTTTCAGCTTAGATTGAAAGTTTATTTTGTATCAGACTTCAGTTTCTTTAAGCATATAGAAAAATTAAATATTTAAAAAAAATATTTCCAAGAGCATGTATGTTTTCTGAATGATGCCCTCACATTTGTTGAAAACCCACTACTGTCTTACAAGGTGTAATGACCGGTCCACAGTTAAATTTCAGGATTTGTGTTTAACTGAAAGCAGCTTACTGTATTTCAAATGTCATTTCTCTTAAAAAGCACAGGGATGTAAAACACTGAAGACAGAACAAAAAAAATGGAATGGTAATCTAAGGATCAAATTCATTAGCCATTTATCCTACTATATCAAAATTTGTAGTCAGAGTTGTCTTTATTGACTTTATTTTAGTTTTTGTACACAAAGAAAAACATGTTCATATCCATCATGAACAAAAACTTAAAAAGGCAGAACTAGAAGACGTGTGTTCTTCACCAAAGCAAAGCTGTGCTAAAGGTTCCAAACATTTCCATTTTTAAAATAAATATTTTCTTCTTCCGGTGTCTACATTCCAGTCTTCAGAGTATCACTGGAAACTGAAGCCTATCATGAAATACACACGTTTAAACAGAGTCCCAGCTCACTGTGTTTGGTAACTTGCCATGCCATATCCAGCTTGGTTAGGTATTACAGGAGCACCTTGTCCCTGGGCAGGCTGAGCACCAAATCCACCCATCCAGGCAGCAGATGGAGATTGGCTTTAAAAAAAACAAACAAAAAAAGGCAAGCCAATCAAGTTATTTACAAAGAGACACAAAATCTGATATTGCTTCTGTTACCTTCTATTCCTGCCAAGGTCAAAAGCTTCCCAACTTCTCACAAAAATAATGCACATACAGGAAGATTTTAAAACAGGTTCTCCTCCTAAAACGTGCCTGCTTCTGGAAAAAACCACAAGCCAAGAAACCTATATACTAGCTGCATGGGCTAGCAATCTCCAAAGCAGAAAGGTATTGTTCAAATACATAAAATGGAATTATTAAACGAAATCAATTTTAAAATGCGGCCCCATTCAAGTTAAACAAAACAGACAATTTGGTTTGGCTCAGATGGAGAAGAAACATTCTATTATTTTCAAGAGCTCTCTGGACCCTATACAGTTTTCTTATCTACAGGAGATGATGACTTGGCAAATTGCCAGCATTTGGAGCAACTTAATTTTATAAACTCAATATGTATCACACCTTTTCCATTAATATTCAAATGCAAGGAAGATTTAAATATAGTATTTAGGGAATACGTTAAATCAAATTAGACAGATTTTGTGTAGTACTTAAATATAAATTCTTCCTATAGCCACACTCAAGTTTCTTTGGCTTTATTTCAAATGCAGCATGATCAGTCTGAAGCCACTTAATTGAAGAAACACACTTGGGTACAGAAACAATATGAACTTCTCCACTGATTTTACAGCAAGAGTTAACATTATTCCAAGAGCTGTGCAAACTTCTATCAACATCACTGATGCAGATGTATAAAAAAGGAAAACATAATGGAGACACATCTGGGTGGGAGAGGGGGAACACGCTGATAAGTCAGCAGTGAAAAATATTACTGTGAAATCAAGAGAATATTACAAAATTAAGATAATGTTTAAAAAACTGTTCTGGACATATATTTTAAATACTCTTAAGAGCAGATGAATGCTCAGTTATGCGGCCCATGCCCTTCAGAGTTAGTATGCCACTTAGGTAAATGCTTTTGGGTTACATGGCATTATGACTGCTCTCAGCTACAGGCTGTTGGTTTTTTTGTTTTTTAAAATAATCGCCACCCAAGAGCATTGAAAATCATCTGCTAAGTTCTTTTAAATCAAGACTCAGAGTCCACCAAGGAAGCAAAATGTGTCTACCAGCCATCTTTTATCTCAGAACATCAATATACACAAAATGTTGAAACAAGTGCATATCATAATGCACTGAATAACTCCTCAGAGAGCATGAGATTCAACAGACTTAAGCTTCCTAGTGAAGAGGGTTTGGCCGGAAAGGCTTGAAGCAAGAGCACTCCTGATACCAAATTAATCTGAAGTGGGGATTACTGAAGAGTTTTAACATTTTTGGAGAACTGCAACACACCTTTTTTAAAATATCTGAAACAAGTATAATCACTTACTCTACTCCAAATCCTTGTTGATTCCATGCTTGACCATACATTCCATAAGATGGTACTTGCCATCCGTTGGCCATATATTGCCCGTACTGCTGTGGATTTCCATAGACTTGACTCCATTGCCCCCACTGACTGTAGTCAACCTAGGCAAAAAAAATAGTTCGTAGTACAACTCCTACAGACATATTAAATTTTATGATGGCTGGCAAGGGCAAAACCTTAATCTATGGCGTTATGATACCGCTGGAGTTACAATTCTTTGCTTTAATTACTGAAAAAAGAATTGCCTTTGCAATAAGAATAAGGTTTCAATAGCACCATAAAATATTTGACTGGGGATGGAGCTAGTCTTCAGTAGCTCAATTAGCTAGAATTCAGAGATTTCCCAGAGCTGCTTCCCATCTTGAATCATACAAGAAGTTATGTTCCTATAAAGTTGCAAGCCCAACCTTGTAGTGAACCGCAATGTGCGCTACCAAAAAGACCAGACCATGCAATTTCACTAACTGTATTAATTAATACTTTATTAATAATGTATCAATGGGGAGAGATAATGGAGAGATTACACTTAACACAGCTGGCTTATGCAAAAACACTCAAACTACTAAAAATAGATTTAAAATGTAATTACCTGTTGGAAGTTTTTAGTCATATCAGGGGATTCTTTACCCCAATAGCATTTAACAACATGTCCTTCAATTGTAGTTCCATTGACTGAAACAATAGCATGTGCTGCACTTTCATGGGTTGAAAACCTAGAGATAAGATAGAAATGAAATTAACACTATGTTTTACTATAATTGATAGTGCTATTACTTTAAAGAACTGTGACTACATGCATGCGTCACAAGTAGAGCTGGGTGAAAAATTGTTGGCTGAAACTCTCCTCCCCTCCTACTCCCCAAATACAGATTTGGGTCCACCGAAACATGTGAATGTGCGTTAATTCACCAAATTAGTTTTTAAAAGAAATCCAAAACTTTGTTTAGAAATTTACTTCAATTTCATTTTTATTAACTCAAAATCTAAACAAGTTTTGGGGTTTTATTTATTTTTTTCCACTTTTCAGTCTGCTGAAAGTTTAAAATGTTTTGTTTCGGGTTGACCCAACCTCACCCCCAATGACTAGCAAATCAATAACCAAAAAACAAAAAAATAAAATAAATCAGATATTCAGAAAACTCTAATAATAAGAAATGCAAAAATCTTACACCAAATTGAGGCTGCCTTTGTAAGCCTTTATTTTCTGAGAAGCAAATGCCCATAACCTTTAAAGCTTCAATTTCTTCAATGTATACTGCAAGCGAGAGCTTTTAATTTAACAGCACTGCTAATTAAAGTACATGTTACATAACAATACATGAAATTCTAATATATTGAACAATCATAGATTTAGTTTAACAGCCTTACCTGACAAATGAGTAACCTTTTTCGGGAAAAACTCTTATTTCCATAATCTGTCCAAATGGTGAAAACGTCTGCCTCATAAGTTGATCTAAAACAGATGATATTTTCAACCAATTCATTAGCAACCTTGGGGCTGCAAACTCATTAGTTAACACGTCCCCCGTACCCTCAATAAAAGTGAATCATACCTGTTAGTCCAGAGGCAATTCCTCCACAGTAAACAGTACAATTTTTTGGACTTGACTGATTTACTACATCTTCAAATCTCAGCTGTTTCGTGCTATCTATACATAGAAAGGGTCATTTTCAAACATTAAAACAGGATCTGCATTCCAATAATTTTTATATAATTACAAAATTATACATTTGACAAATCTGCTCAATATTTTAAGACAAATCAACAGGAAAAATAAGAAAGATAATGATTTAATATACTAGGCCTTTTATTCCTGAATATCTGGGAGTCAAACACATACTAAATTACAAGTTAAGTGAATTTGGTGGCTTAAGCGTATTGCTAACTGTACATTGTAAAGTCCAGCATAACAGTACGTGTGCTGGAGAGCTAATAAAAGGTTAACACAAGCATCTTACTTTCTTGTGTACTTTTAGGAGCAGGTGGTTTTCGTGTTGCCCAGTTAGTTCTGATCTGACGGCCGCCCAACCACTGGCCTCCCATGTGCACAATTGCATTTTCTGCATCCTGAAGGACATCAGAATTAAGACTCATTCAACATGCATGGACAAGGAGAGAAGACAGGCAAGCCTACTACTTTTGAAAATGTATTCATCTGTCACTGGGATTAATTTTTATATAACAGCAATACCAGTTACTAATAAAGTTACTGTAGTTTTCAAGATTTGGGGCATTTAATATATTAAAGCAGCGACATCATAAAATTCTGCAGTAACAACAAAATCCAGTAATGAAAAAATTACTTCACTAGTGAATTGCTATTTCCAATGCACAGAATACACAACAGAAGACAATGGAAGCCATGTATATAGCAAGGATACTATACCTAGACAAGCAAACAAAAACAAAGCCTATAATTGAATACCCAGTGATCTCCTGATCAATGTTATATGATTACCAAAAGCAATCTTAAATAAATTAAACCAAAATATAAGAGTTTAGTTATACAAAGCTCAAATTATACTATAATTAGTCTTACCAATAACTATATGGGAATGTAGTATGCAAAAAAGCATTAATAGAAACAGATGGAAAGTAACAAGAACCTATTATACTTGGATATAGAAAAAGTCATAATTATGAATTTCCTTGATCTTACTGCTTTATCTACAATATTCATAATGAATACATTTCTGACCCACAGATTTCCAGTGTGACAAATTATGTATCAAGAAGGAATTGCTGCAAAAGGGTATTGCATCTTCATGTTCAAAACCATCATCAACTTGGTTGCATATTGGTTAAATTTTGGTAGTAAATGGTGATGTAAGAGGAAATACTACACTCTGAGAAGGCAGAACTGTAGGTAAGAGGAATTTGCAAAGCTGAGATCTACCCCACCTTCTCTACCACCCAACCTAACCACCTCCTATTACCCATTTTTCCTGCTACAGCCTCCCGTTTGCCCCTTCATGGTATTCAACTTATATCACCTCTGAATGCAGTCCAACATTTACAGAGCCATAAGAGCAATCATCATCATACAAACACGGAAAATAGACAGTCCATAGCCTGAACAGCTTAATTCAGACATAATTCACAAGTGCACCACTGAATGCAGATACTTTGAAGGAGGAGAGACAGGGTCACATGGCACACAGTTTGGAAGACTGTTTCAAAGTCATGGGGGCTAGAACAGGTTCCATCTCCCTGAACTACAAGGTGCAAAGCTGAGAATATGTGGGGATGAATCAGAGAAAATTGGGAGGAACTTAAAAGACAAAAGCAGGAACAGTAGCAGATGAGAGAACAATCCTGGTCCTACAGTGTGCCGAGCACTTTCAAGAGAGAAAAGCACAAAGCACTCAGAACTTTGTAGGACTGCCTCTAAGTGTTTCATATTTTTGGAAGAAAATAAGACTTAAATGTGATAGAGAAAGGGAGGGATACCAGAGAAGAGTAGACGGGCACATGCAGGAAGTAATTTTAAAACACTTTTTTACACTTAAAATAAGCAGTGGCTGATCTACAGAGACTAGCACTCAAGAAAGTAACAAACCCAGCCTATCAGTTAAGAGTTTTATTGTTTTTTTAATTAAAATATCTGGTACAAAATTATGTGGTCCTATTTGACACTAAGAAAATACCAAGTTCCAAACTGAACTGTACTATTCACTGGTACACTCTTAAAAAGGAACAATCACGTAATTTAGGCTCTACATACATATAAACCATCTAAGCATTTTTTCTGCAGGGCTGAAAACTGAAACAACCTTATGATAATGCATGAGAATCAGAAAATTAAAAAAAAGACATATCTACTTTTGCTGTCTGTACTGAGGAATGCCAACTAGACAAAGCATAAGTGGTAAAATGTAAACTAGAGTTTCAGTGATTTCAATTTTAATAAACCAAGGTTTCTTAATATTATTTTCATCATGGAATGTCCTTTTAACTATGAAATCACTGAACTTCATTTCAACATTACAAAAATGACAAAAAACAATGTGAAATACTTCCAACAACAAAGCACTAGATATGTTTGTTATAATTCCGAGCCCCTGAAATATTTGTACATTTGTCTCTTTTTCAATACACAGAACGAGCTTAGGAAGGCAATATGGAGGAGCTATGTAAACAATCCCTCAAGTACTTCTGTATAAAAATAGCTCTGTTTCTCATAGCTACCTTGTGTGGGCAATTCGTTTCACAACATGTTCTCAGATATTTTAGTTAACATATGGTATAACTTAAAATTACTCTTTATAAAAAGCACCTTGTTGCCATAAATAGTGAGGATGTATCATTAACTATGGACACTGTATTTAATATAATTCTAAAAAATAAGGTTAGCAAGCCTATTAAAGGGCTAGTCAACGTAAGTCACTTCTGTCTGGAATATTTTTATCCATTACTACTATATTTAAGATTACAGGGGGGAAAAAAATCTCTTCACTTTTACTGTATGTTTACCTTTTGTTTGACAGTACTTTGTTTATAGTCAATTTCAATATTTTCCCCTGAATAATCAATTCTTTTCCCTTAGGAAAGGGATCACAGCAAAGGAGGAGGGGAAAACCTTTTTTTAAAAAATGGAAAAAAAAACACTGGTAAAATTACAAAAATTGGCAGGATGACTCTGGCAGGATTAGTACCTGAAACTTTCAACTTTTTTTTTTTTTAAATACAGAGGACTTCAAGACTCTTTAATAACTGCTCTGCATAAATACTGGTCTGTATAAAGATTATTCCTGCAGTGTGGTTACTCACCAGTTTATTATAAAATGATACAAAACCATAGCCTTTTGATTTTCCAGTTGCCATATCTTTAACTACCCGTGCATCCCTGTGAAAAGAAGCACAGCTATATGAGGGAATTATTATTAACCTTCAAAATAAAAACTAAAAGGAACCACACACACTGTATTGTGAGCATATTTGTTTTTCTTTTTATAAATTCAGTTAGCCCTAAAACTATAGCCATTCCTGAACTCTCCCTATTGCTTCTTTACCTGTTAGAAAAAAGCAGTAGGACAAAAAAATAACATGTAATAAACATGCAACCTATCCACATAACCTCTTCTGGCTAAAACTAAAATGTTCAAATTCGAAGTTTAAAAAGGAACAAAGTTTCCTTTTCTAATATTCTATTAACTAGGGTCCTCTAAGGTTTACTGTTCTATAAATTACTGTAACAGTTCTATCTACTTTACCATGCATTTTCTAAATAGTTAAATGTCTTCTGCCTAGTGATACAAAATATATGAAATATTAAAAAATTGAAAAAGAGGAAAAAAAATAGGAATTAAAAGGCATACATGGCCTGGTTAACAGATTTCTTTATTTTTCTTGGTCAATTCTCTACCATCATTTTGGAGTTTGGGCAGCTGTAAATTTTGAAAAATTGACATTTTCAGAAATTTAAGAAAGGATAATAAAACTAACAACAATGCTAAGCACACCAGTACGAAAACAACAAATTTACACAGAAATTTTTAGTGAGTAAGTTAAAATGATTGGAAATATAGAACTGCACTGAATATAGAATGTTAAAATGTAAATACTAAAATATGTATATATAAATAATGTATAATAAGAATAAATAGAAATGAGAAAAAATCTACAACTGAGTTCCAGTGTGCACAGTTCCTTGCAGTTAGCCTTCAAGATCCTGTCCATTCTTATGAGCAATTCTGCAAAATAACCAGAATGCTATTACTTTTAATTGTGACTTGGACTTTAGAAAAACTGCAGGTCTCAGGTATAAATATAGACTGAGAAATAGAAACCTGTATTCTTTTTATATTGATTTTTAAACAGTATTACTTACCACATTTAGAGATAAAAAGCAAAGTAAACAACAAAATAGCAGAAGGTAAGAAATAAGGTTTATGGTTCATTTAAAAGTGTACAGAGCAAGAAAAATGAGAATTTTTGTTCTTAGCAGAAATATAGTCCTGTAAAGTAGCACAAAAAGTTCATGTGTAATTTTTTTTAAAAGGATTTTAAAAAGAAAGTGATATGAGATCAATGTACTTTTTGAAGCCACTACCTTATTCAAAAGAGACATACATGCTTTAGCACTTCAAGAATTCTTGTAATATTTAACATGTTCAATTAAAACACAATAGATGTTTTGAAATCTAATCTCAAATATGTAATATAGATAGGTATTTATCCCTTAACGGACAGAAGTGTGCACAAATATAAACAGCATTTTTTCATTGAAATACAGCACTTTTAACTTAACCCCCCTTCGATTAACTGAAAAGTTATTTCATACTTTAGGGGAAAAAAAACTTACATTTATACAAGATACATTCATAACTTAGCTAAGTTTTACAACTAGCTACACTTACTGCATCTCAAAATAATACCTTGATATTTACCTGCTTTCCTATACTGCCTATAGGCAAGTCTGATGGAATACACACCACTTGTAATTTTTGAAATCACTATTCTGCACACAAACACTAAGCAAAAAAATTAGTTACACTAACAAAAGCTGTTGATTTGTTATTTTTCTGGTTATTCAATTAAAAACTGCAATGACCTTTATATGTAAATTAGGTTAAAAGCGTACTGCTTTCAACTGGATTGGAGAACAGAATTCATTAATTGTATTTACAAACATGTGATGCACAACCTGAAATGAAGACATCTCACCACCCACCCTAATATAATGAAAACCTTATCGCACAATCTGCAAAAAGATGAAGAAATACTATTTCAGACAAAAAACAAATTTATGCTAGTTTTCCCTGAAATGATGTTTGCAGTATTGATTATGATACTTACGATATTTTACCAAAAGGAGCAAATGCTGACTTGATGTCTTCTGTTGTTATTTCTGGACTTAGATCCCCAACAAATACATGGAAGTGATCTGCAAATAAAGCATTATATAATCAAATATTTAACTGCTATCTAGTAATTTAACTCCTTGCATACTTCTGAGAAAGTGAGTCTTAACAAAGAACTGGGATCCAGGAACTCCAAGGAAATTTAATTCAAGGATTCCATCAGACATTCAACAGTAATTTAACTTCTCCACCTCAGATTTTTAAAAAGGCTCCAGAGGTAATCCTGGCAATTACTGGCCAGTAAATTTAACTTCAGTACCAGGCAAACTGGTAGAAACTATAGTAAAGAACAGAATTATGAGAGCCACAGATGAACATGATATGTTGGGAAAACGTCAACATGCCTTTTGTAAAGAGCAATCATGCCTCACCAATCTATTAGAATTCTTTGAGGGTGTCAAACAAACATGTGGACAAGGGGAATCCAGTGCATACAGTGTACTTGGACTTTCATAGAGCCTTTGACAAATTCCCTCAACAAAGGCTCTTAAGCGAAGTAAGGAGTCACAGGATAAGAGAAAGGTCCTCGCTTGGATCAGCAATTGGTTGAAAGACAAGAACGAAGGATAAGTATATATGTTCAGTTTTCACAGTGAAGAGATGTAAATAGCAGGGTCTCCCAAGAATTTGTACTGGGATTAGTGCGGTTTTCAACATATTCATAAATGGTCTGGAAAAAGGTGCAAACAGTGAGGTGGCAAAGTTTGCAGATGATACAAAATTACTCACGATAATTAAGCCAAAAGCTGACTGTGAAGAGCTACAAAGGGATCTCACAAAACTGGGTGACTGGGCAACAAAATGGCAGATGAAACTCAGCGTTGATAAACGCGAAGTTATGCACACTTGAACACATAATCCCAAACAGAAATACAAAATAGCGACTAAATTAGCTGTTACAACTCCAGAAAGATCTTGGAGTAATTGTAGTTCTCTGAAAACATGTGCTCAATATGCAGCGGCAATCAAAAAACTATCAGGATGTTAAGCACTATTAGGAACAGGACAGATAATGACAGAAAATATCCTAATGACACTATATAAATCCATGGTACACCCACACCTTGAATATTGCATGCAGTTCTGGTTGCAACATCTCAAAAAAGATACATTAGAATTGGAAAAGGAGAGAAGGGAAACCAAAATAGCTTCCATATGAGGAGAGGTTAAAAAGATTCGGACTGGTCAATTTGGCAGAGACAACTAAGGAGGAATATGATAGGGGTCTATAAAATCATGAATGGTGTGGAGAAAGTGAAATAAGGAAGTGTTATTTACCCCTTCACATAACACAAGAAATTGGGGTCACCCGATGAAATTAATAGACAGCAGGTTTAAAACAAATAGAAGAAAGCACTTCTTCAAACAATGCATCATCAGCCCGTGGGAACTCATTGCTGGGGATGTTGTGAAGGCCAAAAATATAACTGGATTCAAAAAAGATTTAGGTAAGTTCATGGAGGGTAAGTCCATTAATGGCTAATAGCCAAGATGGTCAGGGATTCAATCCTATGCTCTGGCTGCCCCTAAGCCTCTGACTGCCAGATGCTGGGTCTGGACAAGACAGGATGGATCACTCAATAATTGATCAGTTTTGTTCATTCCCTCTGAAGCATCTGGGATTGGCCATTGTCAAAAGACAGGATACTGGGCCACATGGACCATTGATCTGACCCAGGATGGTCATTCTTATGTTTAGTTTCCACCATTTGTAAAATAGAGTAAAATACAGGGAATGTTTTAAGACTTCAATTGTAAAATATGAATGTGGGTATTTCTTCTATTAAAACTCAGCATGAGGTAAAATACAATGATATTTAGACGTGTCACTGCAACCTATTCTTACACTAATCGCTATACAAATATTTCACAATGTAATACTGCGGTATTACTTACTGGATGTATCTTTTTTCTGGCTACTCGGTGTTGTTGCCCAGTTTACTTTGACCTCCTGAAAATAAATGTAAGATTTAGCATACATGCATAAAACTAGAAATTAATGTACACTCAAAGGCCACTTACAAATATTAACCTACACAAATTCTTTCTTTTAGAGGAGAACAAGAGTTTTTTTAAGGCATCAGAGGATGTATTGATCATTTTCAGTGAAATTCTTCACATCATAATTTAAATATTTTACATAAGTCTAATTTCTTAAACCTTAGCATTTTTATACACAACTTACCTTTCCCAAAATTTTTCTCCCATTCATAGCAGCTAATGCAGCAGCTGCATCTCTGTGTTCATAAAATTCCACAAAGCAATAAGGGTCATTGCTTGTATGCTGCAAAACAGAAAATCCAACAGAAGAGTTGACCCTTCTGCTATCGGGTTGCTGAGAAAAAAATCCAGGAAAAAATATTACTTATAGCTAGAAACTTTAACAATGTTATTTCATTAGTATAAGATAACCTTTAAAATAACATTAAGAATGTAATACATTGAACTCTAATTTTTAAAATTCAACTCTTTTTGAAGATACTTCAATTATACTGAAAAATGTGGACATTTCTTATCAAGGTTAAATCCATTTTTTAAGTCTTCATTTAGCATTAGTCTACTAAGCTTAACACATACCAGGTTACCTGCAGAGGGGAACAATGGGTTTGGGAAATTCTGCATCTTTAACACATACAAAGAAAGCCTGAAAGGTTTTATCATTTCCCTCCTATCCCCTTCAAGTTTTTCTTCTTCCTCCTCCTGATTGACAAAAATCTTTCCTTTATTTGCCAAAGGACTCCTTGGTAGACCAGAAACCTGGAGTGGGAGCTCTCTTAGCTCCAACAAGTGAAAATATTAAATCTTGTCAATAGTTGGATGCAAATATCTTTTAAAGGAGTCAGTGAGTTAATAGTAAAGTGTAAAAGTGACTAAATATCCTCTCTTCACAAGTGGTCAAGTTTTAGTCTTGATGCTTGTGATATCATAATACTACATGGTCTCCAATCATCCATACTGTATGCTAGGAACTGCTGGGGTTGGAAAGACCTGAATTTCTAATGTAAAACCAAGCAGACAAACCTGTCGGACTTTCTTTAGACATTTTGAAGCAGGGAAAAGGAAGGGTACAAACAGCCCCATCTGCCCTTCAGGTCACTTTTAAATAATACTAATTGCTAAACAGTTTTATTAAATACAACAGAGATATTAAATGTAAAGACAGTCAACGACTTCTGAGAAGCCAATCAAATCGCAATCATTACAGTATGAAATTCAAAAACTAGATTTTAAGCTTTGTGAAAAATGTTTGCAGCGTGCACTAAGCTGGGTAGTTTTACACTGGGATATCTGCATTACTGATATTGCATGTACAATCCCAGGACCAAAGAGCTCATAAAGCAAGTTCTGAAAAATAGCTAATTTAAAACAAAATTAAGTTCACTTTAAGAACCCCATTTTCCCTTCTGTCTTCTTTCACATGTATAGGAAAATTTCTGTTGTAAATTAATTGCTAACCCACCCTGCTCTTGCACAGCAGCACTTTCTCCAGTAGTGCCAGCAAAAATGTGGAGATTGGGTCTTTATTTCACACCGCTTTAACCGTTATTAGCCAATATGTTGGTTCATATACGAAGTATAAGATACAAAGAAATGCCTATTTAAGGGACATGTGCTCAAATATAGTTTCCAGAGGGATATAAAGGAATGCAGTCATTCACTCACATCTCTGATATTGACAAAAGAGAACTGGATAGTAGGGCCCTAAAGTGGCACTAAGGGACAATAAAGAGGGCAGAAATAGCTCTCCGAAACACCCTCAATACAGGGCATCTGCCAACTGGTGCAGAGCCAACACATGGGCTCTACGCTGGCCCTCCTCTCAGCCCTTATGATAGGGACATGTCAGGAGGAGGACAGGATGTGGCTGGGGGCCCTGGGAAGCATATTTTAAGAGTTAGAGAAGTCATGAGACTGCACTAACCACAGGACTGGGGTAGGTCCCCAGGTGCCCCAGAACACCAGATACAAGTAAGGCTTAAAGCCCCTTTTCTCTCTCTCCCCCCATCACATTCCTGCTGCAGGAAGAGGAAGAATGGAGGAAACTCAGGATACACAGTGCATGTATTAGAGTTTATTCTTCCATTAGAAAATGCCCCATTTTCACACTAAAGGGCCTTTTAAGGGCCTTTTAAGGAGTGATTCTGGGTACCTCTGTTTTTGGGTGTCCAATTCAAGATACCTTTAAGGGTCCCAATTTGCAAAAGTTACTGAGCAGCCACGCTCTGAAAAAAATCAAACCCATTCAGGGCATCTCAAGAAGGGCACCCAAAATCTGTAGTTATTTTTGACTATTTGGTCCATGTCTTCTACAAGCGGGATAACAAAAATGGAAACACAGAACTGAGAGCAAAGTAAAGTAGCATGCTAATTAGTCCTGGGGAAGAAACTATGCACCATCACAGATGGACTCATTCAATACTATCTCCACTTGGGGGAGATGAGAGATAAGTTGGTGACTAGGTCTTGAGCAAGAGGCTCTTAAATAGGAGAGCTAGTTTAATGCCCGTGAAAAGATGAAAAGTGCTCTGATTTTAGAGAGAAGGACAGGATAGGCAGGTGCAGCTCAGCCTGTATCCATAAGTATAGTTTTGCCATGTCTTCCCCTGCAATACACCCACTATTCTAGTTCTGGAAAAGAGTCTGCAAGTTGAATGTGAATTATGTACTCATTTTCAAGGTGTACAAATGGGAACAAGGAGTAAAAGGGTTTTAAGGCACCTATTACCCAAACTAGGTTTGGGATGCATTTCCACAAATTAAAGGCTGTTGTACTGACCTACTGTACCACCAGCATAATATTTCCATCTAAATCTGAATGAAATGCAATTACCACAGACATTCAGACATTTGCAGTCTATTAAATACAATATAAAATACAAGTGTTAGCATGCTGTTTGTAGTGAACCACCCTAACAGAAACATCATACATTCCATTTTCTGTTTTCTCTCAATCTGCATTCCTGAAACTCAGACAAGACAAAGATGCCAGTTAATAATTTCTAAAAGCAAGCATTTAAATTTGGTACTACTACAGGCCACCAAATTCAGGGTGAACTTTGAACGCGCACACACACTTTAAAGGCCATAAATGGACACTGCACATTTGGATACTTTATTACAGATGAAACCTGTAATTTGACTAAGAAAATGGCACTGATTCTACTCTTATTGATCTATCTTCTTTCAGATTAGATAGATGTCAGATTACTAGTCTGTCCTTGAGTTGACTGGCTGAAGAGTCCTGGGTCAGTGAAAGATGTTGGAATATCTCAACCCTTCATCCATTCTAGACTATTTATTGACAGCTACTGAAGTCAATGGGTAAGGAAATGAACATGTGTGACTGAGAATTTACCTACAGCAGATTACTAGAACTCCATTTAACCATCTATGGTTATTAAAAATGTAGAACTATAAAGACTGGGTTAAAATGTCTGCAGTGCTAGAAATTCCCATCAAGTGTCACGAAACCAAAGGATGCCAATACTCAATTATACAAGCTGAAGACTGTCTTGGAAGGAACTTATTCCTAAAGAGTAAATGGCAACAAGAATTCTGTTGCATCAGATGACAGCCTTTGAGCACAAGCTGACAACTGCTTAGTCATGCATTGCGTTGAGTCCAAATATATAGAGCCCTGTGCAGATACAAAATTATATTCGCGGATGCGGATATCCGCAGATATAAATCAGTATCTTCAGAACTGCAGAGCTCTCACAGGAACCGCAGCAGCGAAAGGAGCAGAATGTGGGGCTGCCGCTCCCAGGAGCCAGTGCCCCGCGCCAGCGGCTCCTCCGGCGCGGCTATAGTGTCTCCATCACCGCTTACTGGGGCGGGTATCAGGCTCACTGGCAGCTGTTCCTGATCGTGCTCATGTGTTCAAGTGGCACGCATGCCCACAGACAGGAGACGCAGATAGCTGCGTGGAAGGGCCAGAGGCAGGACTGGGGACGGTACAGAGGAGGAGGAGGAGGGGAGGAGCTGCCTGCATGGGGTCCTGGGAGCAGCGGCCCCACGTTCTGCTCCTTTTGCCACTGCGGTTCCCAGGAGAGCCTTGCGGGTCCGCAGGTATAAATTTGTATCTGTGCAAGGATCTACAAATACAGTTTGCCTAGGAAGCTATATTCCACCATACACCAGTGTTGCAGAGATATGCTGCCAATCTGATTTTCTGCATTTTAATGCAAACCCAGTATGCTATATTTGATACCATTTGAAAATGGAAGGCCTTACCTCTGTTATCATTTTACAGCTTTTGCATGGTCCAATCTGGCTGAATAACTGAAGTATAAGTACTTCAGTCACATCTCTGGAGAGGTTTCCTACATAGCTACACAAGGAAATAAACAGTATTTTAAGTCCAGCAACTTTATCTCCAAGTTTATAATAGATTTTAACATATTATACGATTTCTATGTAAAACCTCCTTTTAAATATCCCACACTGAACAAAATACTTTACATTTGCATATGAACTTATTCACAGTTACTAAATTAACAAGTTTCCTAAATTATAAGACTGGCAGTGCAACTGAGATCATGAAACTAGAAATAATCATGTAATAGTAGATAGCAATAATACTGCTGTCAGCAGCAACAAAAAGGGAGAACAGGCAATCAAGTTGGGAATGATGTTTAAAATCCAGTTTTGCCATCCACTGACTAGAAAAAATTATTCTTTTATATAACCAACATAATATTTCTTAATATTTTATTGATATATAACTCAGCCAAATGTGATGACGACAAATGATCTCATAGTCAGAGAGCTCAATTCTTTGGTTCTATTGCATCTAGTCATTTGGGGGAAAACAACACACCCACAAACAAGAATGTAACTTAGAGGGTAGTACAGAGAAGGAGTATTCCATTAGGCATCTGTTGTGGTAACTGAGAATTCCAGAGGAAGGGTAAGTGTATTAAAAAACAGTACACATGCAACAAAACTCTTGCAAGTTTTGACCAAAAGTCATTCCGATACTAACTACTACACTGCCTTTTTCACCTTTTTTTTTTTTTTTTAAACTTAAGAACTTTTTAGTACTTACTCAACCTTCGGGACAATTCCAAATTTAAAAGTGTATGAGTTGGTCAATTTCAGGTGAAAAAAAGTTTCCTACTCAAACTCCAACAGGAAAGTTCATCTACTTTCTTCAATACTGAAAGCTAGTAGAGAATCTAGAATGCACCTCCACAAAAGATAAAGCCATATCATGAAAACCTGCTGAAAATCCACATTTTCTAATTTGAATTATCAAATTTCAGTAATGAAATGTACAGCTTTGGAACTGAATTTATATGTAAAAATTGTACAATGATATTCAGTACATTTGTCAATAAAGTCTCAAATCTGGAGCACAGGAACGTTCACATCATGTAGGTATATTTACAACTTAAGAAAAGGAGTACTTGTGGCACCTTAGAGACTAATAAATTTATTTGAGCATAAGCTTTTGTGAGCTACAGCTCACTTCATCGGATGCATTCAGTGGAAAATACAGTGGGGAGATTTATATACACAGTGATATACCGATGATATAGTGATAATCAAGGTGGGCCATTTCCAGCAGTTGACAAGAACGTCTGAGGAACAGTGGGGGGTGGGGGGGATAAACATGGGGAAATAGTTTTACTTTGTGTAATGACACATCCACTCCCAGTCTCTATTCAAGTCTAAGTTAATTGTATCCAGTTTGCAAATTAATTCCAGTTCAGCAGTCTCTCGGAGTCTGTTTTTGAAGATTTTTTGTTGAAGTATTGCCACTTTTAGGTCTGTAATTGAGTGACCAGAGAGACTGAAGTGTTCTCCAACTGGTTTTTGAATGTTATAATTCTTGACGTCTGACTTGTGTCCATTTATTCTTTTACGTAGAGACTGTCCAGTTGGACCAATGTACATGGCAGAGGGGCATTGCTGGCACATGATGGCATATATCACATTCGTAGATGTGCAGGTGAACGAGCCTCTGATGGTGTGGCTGATGTGATTAGGCCCTATGATGCTGTCCCCTGAATAGATATGCGGACACAGTTGGCAACAGGCTTTGTTGCAAGGATAGGTTCCTGGGTTAGTGGTTCTGTTGTGTGGTGAGTATTTGCTTGAGGTTGGGGGGCTGTCTGTAAGCAAGGACTGGCCTGTCTCCCAAGATCTGTGAGAGTGATGGGAGACAGGCCAGTCCTTGCTTACAGACAGCCCCCCAACCTGAAGCAAATAAAACTATTTCCCCATGTTTATCCCCGCCCCCACCCCACTCGCCACTGTTCCTCAGACGTTCTTGTCAACTGCTGGAAATGGCCCACCTTGATTATCACTACAAAAGGTCTCCCCCACCCCTGCTCTCCTGCTGCTAATAGCTCACCTTAAGTGATCGCTCTGGTTACAGTGTGTATGGTAACACCCATTGTTTCATGTTCTCTGTGTATATAAATCTCCCCACTGTATTTTCCACTGAATGCATCTGATGAAGTGAGCTGTAGCTCATGAAAGCTTATGCTCAAATAAATTTGTTAGTCTTGAAGGTGCCACAAGTACTCCTTTTCTTTCTGCGAATACAGACTAACACGGCTGCTACTCTGAAACCTGTCATTACAACTTAAGAGTATCACAATGCCACCCAACTTTAAGTATTCAAGTGTGCCTGTTAAACCACAGACACTTCGCTTTAGTGTATCACTTTCAAACAACTTCACAATGAAGTTTAATACATATGGGTAAAAATGGAGGCAGGAATACCACTATATACTAAGCGAAAGCTATTTAAAGTCTGTTTGAAAAGTTGCTTCCTTCAACTAACAAATGAGAAACACCAAATATCTTTAAAATCACTTTTTAAACACTTACATTTACTCCCTTTTATCTGTTTATTACCTTTGAAAAGCCTGAAATAAACTCTCTGCCAATGTTATAGTTCCCTATGGTCAGTCTTCTACTCGAATGGTGATGAAATCAACACTACATACTTGATTGGTTTTGCACCAGTACCACACAAATCTAAATCAAGAGAAAACCTTTTAGGTTTAAAAACAGTATTTGTTAACTATTGTTTCAGTGAATGTAAAATATTTGTTTCTCTAATCTCTCAACCAGGTCTTAAATTTTAATCGGGGTCCAGAATAACTTTTTTAGATATCAGCTGGATATAAACTTTCCCATTTAGAATATGCATGCATATTTACAAAGTCAATTCTATATATAGTAGGGAAAACTCACTATCAGAAACTAATGGTTCACAACATTTTAGAATAAATTTCACTGAACAACTTTTTCAAAAAAGCTATCCAGACAAACCAGCTATTTGGCTTTTATTTATATATATTACACACACACAAAATATACAGCAGCCAGCTACACTAACACTGAGAACTACACTTCTGTCACTACTTGTAACACCGCTGTCAATACATATCACATCTTTCACTGAATTGCAACATAAGATTTAGAACTTTCTTCTAGGTTACCTAGCCACAACAACATGAATTGTCTTTTCAAACTACATAAATATATGCCATACTAAAATTAGTTTAAATTTTAAAACAATAGACTAAACAATACTTAATGTTTAAAAAATGTGTAGACTATTCATAGTCTGAACCCAAAATTTAACCTTTGAGGATGTTACTAGAATCAGACAAAAAAATAACTGAGATTATAAATAAAACAATCCTTGTGAAGAAATAACCATTAATTTTGTAGGACCTACATAATGAGCACTTGTGTTTCCTCTGCTATCACTGCAGCAGTATAAGCTAACACATTCCCAAATGGTGTACATAGTCCACACTCATCAATTGCGCTGCACAAACATGAATGTAAACAGAGTGAAGTCAGGGTGGCTTCATCTCCATTGACTCAAAGAAATGAGGGAAGATTATGTTTGCAATATAGTAAAATATCAGAAAGAGCATCATTCCAAGGTGTATATTAATACTGTGCAAAAACTATACAAAACAGAACTTCTTTCATGCTGGCAGGAAACTAGAAAAATCATTCTTCAGGAATTAGCATAAGCTTTACTCCACACTAATTTAATAAATTTCCAAAAAGGACAATAGGCAGGTTTATATAACTACTAAAAAATCATTATGAAAAAGGTTAAGAACTTACTATAAAAGTCATGTTTCAGCCATTTTGTAGGCTGCTTCCTTATGGAAAAAAGCAATACTACTCTGGGTCAGTTAGCTCCTATATTTGAAGGAAGTGTAATGCTTTATTGGCTTAAGAACAAGTTTTTAAAAATTCCCTGAATGAATTTCAGATAATTGCATCATTCTATATTGTAGTATGTTTTCCTTCAGCTTTCAGTGTTATAAAAAATATACAAAAGCAGTTAACACTATTCTCAAATTGCTACTACCATTCTGAAACTGCAGTACTGTAGACTCAAGTACACCTATACTACACACACACAAAAACTGCAGCAGCAAGTCTCAGAGCTAAATTCAACTGACTTAGGCTCAGGCTATGCGGCTAAAAATAGCAGTGTAGATGTTCCCTTTCGGGTTGGAGCTGGGTTTTGGAGCCTGGGCTCCATCCCAAACAGGAATGTCTACAATGCTATTTTAAGCCCTTTAGCACAAGCCCCATTACCTCAAGTCAGCTGACCCATACTCTGAGACTGGATGTCCTGGTTTTGTTTGTTTGTTTTTAGTGTAGATGTACCCTCAGACCAATCTGTAATATAATGTTAAACAACATAAGCATAGCAATATCTGCAGAGTCCAGATTTTTAGAACCATTTGGCCATGCAAACTTATAGAAGTTCGGGCCAGTGGGAGTTAAAGATGAAGATTTAGCTTCAATATTTCATGTAGTCTTTGTACTTAATATTAGCACTACTCCCAATATATTCAAAGAGGACTTAAAACAAAATACAAATATCAAACAACTTTGGTGTAAAGTACTTGAATATCCCAAATAGCCAGGGTACGGAAGACATTCAACCCCTTTGGAACTGAAGTCTTATGTTACCAAAATCCACTCCCCGTGAAGCCACAAAACACCAGCTTGGCTTGAGTGGCAAGACAATATACTCATGACTTCACAACAGCCAGGGAAACAGCCACTTGTAACATGCAGCCAGCTTAGAAAGTTTTTTTAATATAAATTATGCATAGTTTAAAAGTTGTACTATCTATTTAGACTATAAAATACTAAGTTCGCAGAACTATGCAATATGACGTTTGGAGTAAAGCAAGTGCTTTTAAAAATACTACTTCTATGGTCTTCCAAGCTTTTTATATTATTATAACCCACAGGATAATAGTTTCAATTTTGCAAAACCATACATTATACAGTAAAAAAATGTACTTACTATACCTCTCTAGGCTGTCTCCTTAATTCATGGGATATCAATATGCTGTGGCTTCATGCATATTGACATATTTGTACAGTGTGTTCACTTCTGTAAAATTGTGGCATTTACATACTACACTGATAGGCATAGTTTAAAAACCTAGACCAGATACCAGAAGTCCAAGATATTATACTACTGAATGATTTTGACAATGTCTATAGACCAAGGACTTGTCTTCACTACTGAGGTGAGTCGACCTAAGTTACGCTACTCCAGCTATGTGAATAACATAGCTGAAGTTGACACAGCTTAGATCGATTTACCCCGGTGTCTTCACTGAACTGCATCGATGGGAGACGCTCTCCCGTCGACTTACTCCAGCTCCCCAAGAAAATTAAGGTAACAGGGTCGACTGGAGAGCACTCTGTGGCTGATTTAGTGCGTCTTCACTAAACCCACTAAATCTATCCCTGCTGTATCGATTGCAGCAGTGTGGATCTCCCCGTAGTGAAAACCAGCCCCAAGAAACAATATTTGAGGTTCACAGATCCTGTTAAGCTAGTAGAAGAAAAATTCTAACAGCAGAGCACATCAACAATCAACTAGGCTGAGGATCAAAAGAGCTCTATGAGGGTGACACGTTTTTTATCGCTGTACAGTAGGCAAGTGAGGACAGCTACGTTCATAGCTACTTCTTTTTGGCCCGTCAAAGTTCTTCCAGGTTCTACCTTAAAGAAGGTTATTGAATGTTTGCGGGGAAGGGTAAGAAAAGGGGAAAGTTATATGGTGAAAATTTCACATGAATTCCAACTCTCTGAATTGGTCAGATGGCATTGTCTCACAGATACTACTAGTGAGCTACAGGAAAGAGGAAATGCTTTGGAAATTCCATATTGTAGCTTCCAGAAATGGAAGCTATTACCTTTATCTATGAGACTTGGCTTTAAGTGAAGTTTGAGATTCAAAGTTTTAGTCTTAGCTCAGTGCCCCATGGATCAGATCCACATTCCAAAATACATAATTTGGCATAGTGGGTGATATAATACCTTTGTGTACAGTGGTGACTATGCGATGACTGCTAATATGGAGAACAAACAACTTTAGCGTGCTAAAAGGACAGTCCCAAGTCAGAGTACAGATCATTGGCAGGACTCAGGTTCTAGCTTCCCAGGGAATCAAAGTAATAAGACTTCAATGTCTACTGTTTGTGAAGGATCCGACAGAATTTACAAGAGTAAGTTTGATTCCAACTGAAACTTTCATCTCAACAAGATGTGTTATTAGTAAGTTCTAAAGTACTCTTATCAAAAGAGCTTTTGAGGCCTCAAAAATTGTATTAAATTTGTTAGTCTAATATATTTTATTACTGATTTCAGTCTCAACTAGCGTGGCATTGAGAATCAATTCAAAAGTACTTTTTTGCTGTTACTTTCTATATAATGTTAATAAGGAGAGGCTTTGATCAGAATCCAGACACCGTTATATGAGGCACTGTAGAGGTAAACATAGTTCTCTCTTCTTTACCATACTGCCATGTTATGCTGATGAAGCGAGCTGTAGCTCACAAAAGCTTATGCTCAAATAAATTGGTTAGTCTCTAAGGTGCCACAAGTACTCCTTTTCTTTTTGAAAAATAAGCTGATAAATTATCGAAATACTACCATTTCCTTGGACAAGTGAGCCAACTATAATTTTTTTCAGATTTATATAAAAGCCTGCTAGCTGAGAGAGGTTAAATGGTCTTTGTTTTCTAGTATTTCAGATACTTTGAACCATTAAGAAAGTCATTAAACACCAGAAAGCAATATAATACCACTTAAAATACTGCAAAATAAGTTAATACTGTAGGCAATTAACATTTAAAACAATTACTTAGGACCTAAGGCCTTTGGTATTTTTTTTGCCAATTAAAACATTTGCTCCCTAGCTGTGGTGTCTATAGGAGAAAAAACAGTAACATACAGTATTTTCCAGTGTGGCAATAGAAGAGAACTCCTGAGATATATTTTCTCTAATAAGTGAAATACCGCATGGGCACAAAACCATGACACTTATTTTATTGACCACGTGATTATACAATTGGTCAATTGGGTTTAAAGATAAAATACCTACTACTTACTTTATAGAAAATTACTTAAGAGTTCAATGTGCAATATTACTATTTCGTACTAGATGTCAGTGAGCATCTTATTCAAATGAAAAGGCATGAATGCTATACATGAATGGCTTAACGTAGGCCAGTAATCTTAAAAAAAACCCCACAAGATGAGGATTTGAGAGAGAATCCTAAATTTAAAAACATTATTGGTATTTCAGATAAAGCTAGAGGTGAGTGGAATGTCTAAGCAATTCTACAGCAGGATTTTTTATATTATTATGCAAGAGAAAATTATTTGTATTTTAAGAAAAGCACTTACTGTATATTAACTTGACAAATTAAGCAGAGATATAATCATATGTGATTATTCAATCTTCTTCTGCAGCTCTTCTGAGGTGTTATTTCAGACATCTTAGCACAAATGTAATCTTGTCATTAAATGGCTAAGGGTTAAACTAGTTCACTTCCAGATGCCTCAGTCAAAAGTATAAACTACTAACACCACCAGAACTTGACAGCAGCAGTCAAAGCATATTTAAAACTTAGCCTAGTTCCAACTTTCCCAGAAGTGTTTTTGTTTTTAGAGGGGAAGTCAGGAGTATCTTTCATTCATTAAAAATAAATGAAATTAAACCTCACTGTGCATCTTACTCTTTCTCCTTCCCCCACTTAAAAAAAAATCCTAAGATTATTCCCCATTGTTATAAGTGAATTCCAAGTCCTTTTAGGCAGTCAATATCCATTTCTAAAAGTTATTTGGGGTAGAAGGACTCAAAATATGTACCTCAAAGAGCAAAGGCAGGCCTGGTAACTGTTGTTATACTAAATCAAATCCAACTTTTGTGGATTGGGGAAGAGGAGGGTAAGAGACAGACAATGTCATCTACAAAAATAAAATTGGTTAGAGACCAATTTTATTCCCAACACAGTCTGCATTTTTAAGTGTCTTAACAACCCAAATTAGGCCCCAAAGGCCATTTCAAAGCTATTTTCCCAAGGTAGGCAAAAGGGCAACATCTTTCTTACTCACATGCATAGTCTGAGTTTTTTGTATTTCATTCAGTATATATATACTGTTCTTCACAAAACTGGCAGAGGGAGCTGAGATTATAAACTAGTTGAAAATAGTCTGAACAAAACTTATTTTATTTAGACTTTTTAAAATGCATATAAAGTGCCAATTTATACTTTCCAGGTACCTCCCATATAACTTAAAAATACAACAAAATATTCCAACATAACGAAAGCACAGCAGATTTCAGTAAGACTATCAGCAAACTAAGCAATTCAAAACCTCCCATTTTTTTAAGATTAAGCTCATTTGCTTAGAAGGAAACCTTCAAGCTGTTAGTAAGTCACCACATACTGACACACTCAAGATGATGTGAATTCTCATGACAGTGTCTAGCAAAAAACATACTATGTAAGTACTGGAGAAAAAAATAAATGACTTTTCTAAACATCCAGTTTTAGGGAAAGAATCTTCTTTCACAATGGTCTTCACCTCACCCCAGGAAAGAAAATGAAACAATGAACATCTGTTTGATGACACCACAAACTAGAACCATGAGAAATCCATTTACCTTGGAGTAGCTGTGAGCATTCTTCTGCCACATATACAATTCAGATGGGTGAAGGGAGGGTTTAGTCGCAACAACAAAGCAGGCCGACATATATGCCTACCCTACTACTCTTCCCTTAGCCTCAAGAGTACAATAAGGAGCATGCCTTCCTCAAAATTGTCAGTCATTGATTATGCACCCCATTCACAATTCTGGATCTCTCCCGTGCCTCCCTCTATACTCACACGTCTTCTGGCTCTCCACTTCCCCTCCCAAAGTCAGAATCATCCAACCTAGTTTCCTCCTACCTCACTTCAGTTTTTGCACTTTGCCTTTCAGTTACTGGATCTTCCCCTCCTCCCAGTCAATATACTCATCCTCCCCCCCGTCGGTATTTTACTCCTCCGCCTTCCCACACTTCCAATTTCTGGACCATCTCCTCAGTATCACCCGTTGCCCTCCCCCGTCAATATCCTCTGCCTTCCTCCATTCCTCCAGGTTATGTGTTCTCTCCCCCCCAAATTCTCCTCCCCCTTTCCCTGTTTCTGTAGCTTCCTCTTCCCTCCCTCTTGCAATTTCGGTCCCACCCCAACTCCCGTCAGTATCTTCCACGTTCTCCTTCCTCTCTCCGGTTTCTGTGGTCTCTCCTCGCGCCCCCTCCCCCGCGTCAATATCCGCCTCCCCCCGGCCAGGCCCCTCATGCTATGGCAGCACGTCCCGCGCCACGCTCTGAATCCCCCCGGCCCGCCCGCCCCGTCAATATCCTCCCTCTAGCTCCCGACGCCCCCCAGGCCCCTCTCCACCCGGGGGCTGCTCCCGGCCAGTCCCCATGGGCCCCCATTCCCCGCCCGGCTCCCGCTTCTCTTCACTCACAGGGTCCTGGGCTGCCCGTCGTCTTCCATCACGGCGCGTGAGGGCCGTTCGTAGCTGTCTCCGGGGGGCGCGCTGGGGGGGGGGCTCCGCCGCGCACTGAGAAGGGAAGGGAAGGTGAGGGCCCCAGCTCCCCTCGCTCAGTCTCGCCCCCGCGCCAGGTCCCGACACTGCAGTCCGAGCAAGAGAGGGAGGCAGCACTACAAAATGGCCGCCGCCGCCAGCCACTCAGGAAGCCGCGAACTGCGCAGCCGCAGCCCGCTCCCTCTCCGGCCGGATTCTCTTTCCCATTCCCCGCCACCGCGCTGCGGTGCCGTCTGGGGGTCGTAGTCACAGAGGATAAGACTTGGGTAGGTGGATGGGGTCGCCCCACGGCCTTCTGGGAATTGTAGTGTTAGGAGGCGGGACTATCTCAATACTCCCAGAAAACTGGAAGGGATGGGAGGGCAAAAGACTATAACTCCCAGCATGGCCAGCGGCGGAGAGACCAGGCATTTTAGGGAGAACATGGGGAATCCCCTGACCCTCCTCTGAAATGCCTGGTGCCACAGTTCGTTCCCGTTGAGCGGGGCGATAATTGGCAGTAGCTGATTCGCCCCAGATCACCTGGCTGGGTTTAGTTGGGGCCTTTTAAACCTTGAGTAAATCGGCCTGTTTGGACTGAATAAACATAGACAGTGTTAAGTTTCAGATTGTTCCTTGCCGGAGTGAAAGGCCAAGTGTATGGTGAAAGCCCAGATCCGCAGGCAGCGCTGGGCTTACGCCACCACTTCTTCTCCCCCCTCCCGCCGGTTGCTAAGTCTGGCCGCAGCTACCAGGAACGGGAGGGCGGGGGCGATGGTGACCTCACTCGCTCCCCGGTGTCAGCCTTTGCGGGGCGGCGGGGGGGCCGCTGGGCCAGGAACATGGGTAGGAAGCCGGGCGCCCTTCTCTGTGACCTCGGGGGGGTTAGGTAGCGTTAGGACTCAGGCTCCCCACCCCAGCCACGGGGCAGGAAAGGCAGGCGCCCACCCCAGCCCCTCCCGAAAGTGTTAGTAGCGCGGGGCAGAACGTATCCGAAACTCAGGGACCGACATTTTGTAAAGCATTTGGGGTTCCAGCTTTTTACGCTATAAAGGGCCCTGCTTCTGAACACCCGCCCTCTGAAAGCAGGTCTCGTGTTAGGCACCCGTCCCAAAATCACCAGTTGCTTTTGAAAACATAGGCAAAGACGCCTTCTGCTCTGCCTGCATGGACGTTGGAGTGAGCTAGGCAAAATTAGCATGTACATGTTCCCACCCAACCAATAACCCTCTTGTTCTTTTACTTTCATGTCCCAAAGTACGGAGTAGGTGTAGGTTGATTAAAATCCATGAAATTTTGTAATGCTGTGTTTAAGATCGCAGCCCACTTTCTGTAAAAAAGGGTATTTGCTCTGATGCTGCTATCTTTCCCCAGTGTATCAGTTGTTCCTCCGCAGACATGGTTGCATTTAATAGATTCATAGATTCCAAAGACAGAAGATACCTGTGATAATCTAATCTGTCCTCCTGTATAACAGGCCATAGAATTTACCCCCAAATAATTCCTTTTGAACTACAGCATATCTTTAAAAAAAATCTATTTCAATGCTGTTACGTGTATCAGCACAATTAGAACCATTAAAAAGTGTTGCCATTTGCTACGCTGCAGTGTGTGTGATGTTCCTTATTCTTAGAATGTAAACAATGGAGGAAAATTTTACTACCACACCTGGGTTTGTTGGGTTTTTTTTAAGAAAAACACCCACTGTGCAGTAGATAGGGCTTGATCTTCTAGAGACATATAAGTAACTTTACTCAGATGAGAGAGACCATTGAGGTTTACACATGTAACTTTACATGTCTATAAAAATTGCTCTGGGCTTCTTTGAGATGCTTGATAAATGTAAAATATTATTACTGTTTGTTGTTTTAGCAACCTAAAATTAGGCAGACCTGGGTTTTTGGGTGAAGAAGACTGCAATAAGGTGTCTTTTTAAGATTATTTTTATACATTTTTTGATAACCATTGTGCTTGGCTCCATACAAAACACACTGTAAATTCCTTTGTCTTACACTTTAACTTGGACAGACAATAGTTCGAATGAAAACAGTTCAGAAGAATATTCTGCTGAATGGCCAAGGACTAGAAGGTCTAATTAAAGATGAAGAACATTTTCAATTTTGTAGATGGATTATTGTTGAAACTAAGGCTTCCTAGAAGTGCTTGAAGCTGTGAAGCATTTCACTGCTAAAACAAATGCCTCTAGCAGGGCCAGTTTGTATGTATGAATACTTAACAATACAAAATGATGCATGCAAATTGAGGACCTGATCGTCTCAACACTTATTGTACTACCAAGTATTGTGCTTTCTACAACCTAGCTGAAGTCACAGTTGAAAGTCTCATTGGTACTGTGGCAGGATCAGGTTCTTATTTTGAATAGCATATTTCTACAAACCATATGCCCTCAAAGTGCTGTACATTATTAAATTCTACAGTTACAAAGATAAGTGACAGCAGAAGGATGAATACATTAAGAGGTAAAAAGGGAGAAAAAAAGGAGGTTGAAGTTGAGATCTGAACAATATTTTAATTCCATTTTTGCTAGCACTTTTTACTTAGTGCATTGCCTTATTATTTAAATGTCAACAATGGAAAATTAGCTACTGCTACATACATTGTGGTACTGTCAAGTTTAATGACATTTTAAAAGCCTGGTAGAGGTGACAGAACCCAGTGTGAATCTCTTTTTCTGCCTTCTCAAAATTTCAGACATTACATATCTTCCTCCTAATATTGAACAAACTGTCAACATGCTGAATTGATGGTAGTAATCCCAAATCCCATTTGATATGGGTAAGCAGGGGAAAAGGAAGATATAAATGACAGCTATGACAGGCAATAGTATACATAAATGACATACTATTACGGTATACAATATCATAGGAATCACAAATACATTCAGCAAAATATCCTGGCTTTTAATCTTACATGTCAAGAAAGTGAGACCATCCATTTCATTAAAATCCTGTTTTATTAATAAGCTGATAATTAACTCACTAGTTTCACTAAATTCTATGTACCATTCAGCTATGTTGAGTCTTGGCATTTTTATAGTACCTAACAACTAGTGTGTCAAAATGGTCTTAGAATTACTGAGCCATATCCTACTGTTGTTTAGGTGTTCCCACACAAGAGCTAGAACAGAGGTGGGCAAACTGCAGCCCGCGGGCCACATACGGCCCAGAGGACCGTCCTGCCCAGCCCTTGAGCTCCCACCCGGGGAGGATAGCCCCCGGCCCCTCCCCTGCTGTCCCCCTCCCCCGCAGCCTCAGCGCGCCGTGCCACCAGCGCTCTGGGCGGCAGGGCTGCGAGCTTCTGCTGGGCAGTGCGGCTCTAGCCTGTGCGGCCGCATGGCTGGCTCTGGCCAGTCGGTGCGGCTGCCAGTCCTGGTGGTCTGAGCGGCATGATAAGGGGGCAGGTAGCAGGGGGGTTGGATAAGGGGCAGGAGGTCCTGGGGGGCAGTCAGGGGACAGGGAGAAGGGGGCGGTTGGATAGGTGTGGGAGTCCCAGGGGGCCTGTCAGGGGGCGGGGGTGTGGATAGGGGTCGGGGCAGTCAGGGGACAGGGAGCAGGGGGGGTTGGATAGGAGGTGGGGTCCTGGGGGGGCAGTTAGGAGCGGTGGGGTCCCAGGAGGAGGCGTTCAGGGGACAGGGAGCAGGGGGGGTTGGATGGGGCGGAGGTTCTGGGTGGGGCAGTCAGGGGACGGGGAGGTGGGGGGGGGTTGGATAGGGGGTGGGGTTCCAGGGGAGCGGTTAGGGTCGGGGGTTCTTGGGAGGGGGCGGTCAGGGGACAAGGAGCGGGGGGGGGTTGGATGGGTCGAGGGTTCTGAGGGGGGGCAGTCAGGGGGAGGGGGCGGATAGGGCGCGGGGGCCAGGCTGTTTGGGGAGGCACAGCCTTCCCTACCCGGCTCTCCATACAGTTTTGGAACCCCAATGTGGCCCTCAGGCCAAAAAGTTTGCCCACCCCTGAGCTAGAACACTGTGCAAGGATCTTCTTACAAAGTTTCTCCTGAATAGTTCCATTTGAGAGGGCACTGGAACTAGGAAGGGGATTGACCCACTGTCAAGGCTGATTCCTCACTCTGGCACTTCGAGTGCAGAAGGTGGGTGCCTGCAAGGATTCTAAAAATTAATACTGACCACTCTAGGCTTGTATTAAACTCTTAAGGTTATAGCTTCTCTCTGACCTTGGATGGGTAGATGCTGCCACTACTCAAGTGCAACCTCCCCCGCTTTTTTGGAACCCAGGAAGGCGCACTTGGGAATTCCTTCCTGTGGGGTACCCTCAAGCCCTTTCACACACACCCCTCCCGGGGAAGAGCTGAGAAAGAAAGCAAAGGAAATCAGCTGTTGCCACCAGCTAATGAAACAACATATGCACA